TTCAGTAGTCTACCTAACATAGGGTGTATTGGAAGTATGTGGTTCTAAAAGAGGAACCTAGTACCGAACTGAAAGTTGGACATGACCTTTTGTTTAATACAAGCACATAGACTAAATGTTAGAGTGGTGGGTTTAAGACAGTCTCACATTGGTCAGGAGTTGCTGAGGCTGGGATGACTCTAAATTTGTGATATTCCTGCTGGCATGACAGTCCTGTGTGCCACCATCCCCGGGTTAGGAGGTGATAGGGAATTGAACCCAAGTCCTCTGGGGTTCTAGGCCAGCACTCTACCCTCTGGGCTTACATCCTGCATTAGGACTCTAGGTCAGAATAGTGGAGCTGCCTTATCCATAGACCCCAGTGAGTCATATTGCCCCTTAATCAATACATAGAATTAGAGGGTCAATGGTTGAACATGATCATAAGGAAACTCTTATCTATCTAGGCCTTCCCTATTCCTCTCACGCAGTCTGATCAGCATAAAGATGATTGGAATTTCTTAAAGGCCAGTGGTCTGTAGCAGTGAACTATTCTAGGTGAGTGAAATCCTTTAATTCAAATCGCTCTAGTCTAAAAAGAAAGACATTATATTTTTGGTCAATGAGAAGCTATTTATAGCGAGTTTGTTTGTTTGTTTTGCAGAATAAACCGTTGAAATGTTCAGACTTTCATGTGTGCTAAGATTTATATTTCTTCTCCATGAAAATAATAGTGGTTATGGGACTTGGATTTAGCTCTGTCTTTGCATAGGATTCCTTGCTCAGTTTATGAAAAAAAATTTATTCTCTGTCAGCTTTTGGAGTTGAACAGTGTTGGCATAGCTATAAGATATGTTGAATTCTTGTCAGAGAACTACCACAAGTAGATAGAGAATAGGAAAATAAAAGGAGAAAAAGTCATCTGATAATATTATATTCATAGAATTGTCCTGTCTTTGCTCAGCTTGTGAGTTTGTGATTGGTTTCTGCCGTGAAGAACATGAACCCTCCCCTCTGTTGTTTGACATGTGAAACTCTACAGCAGTAGAGGCCTTTAACATGGTGATAAATTGGGTGAAATCTACAGGGTTCTTTCCTTTTTTAGTTTATAGTGAATGTTGAAAGAGGAAGCTTCTCCATATGTCAGCCACAGACAGAGCAAGTCATTTCTTGAGAGCTGAAACCATTTCTCAGAAAACCCTGAGGGTAGAAGGCAGAGAGACTTCATCAGAAGTGGATGGGCTTAATTTTTATCCAATTTTTAAGTTACAGTACTGTTATACTGTTAGATACTGAATTTCTTCATTCACTCGGTGATAAGAATTGAGAGCAGGTAATACCCTACAGAATAATCAGTATGTTCCTTACAGAGCTGCTGCTGGTGCTGTTAGGGATGGATAAGAAAGGTTGCCTGCCCATGGAAGGCAGTGTGGTTCCTTCTTTCCTTCCCCTTGCTGCATCCTTTGGAAGATCGCTCGCTCTCTCTCTCTCTCTCTCTCTCTCTCTCTCTCTCTCTCTCTCTCTCTCTCTCTCTCTCTCTCTCTCTCTCTCCACACAGAGACAGAGACAGAGAGATGACCATAGCCATAGAATACTGATCAAATATTGGGGACTTTGGGGCTCAGGTTGTAGAACTCTTGCTATTTTGATGATCTCACTTCAGAGAGTCCTGAGGGGGGGGGGGGAGTGACTTTCTACTTTTTTTCTGACTCAAAAGTCAAAAGTTTCCTTTGTTGGAAATAAACAATTTAGGGGTTCCAAAGAGGTGATTCAGCAGTGAAGGGCTCATGTGCCCTTTTAAGACTCAAGCTTCCAGCATCTACATGCAGCTGCCATTTACTCCATCCAGTTCCAGGTGATCTGAAGCCCTCTTTTGACCTTTAAGAGCATCCACATCCACATGGCGCACTCCTCCCATAGGTGTATATGTAAATAAAAAAATAAATCGTTTTTAAAAAAACTAAAATGAACAGTTCACAGATTTGGGGAGCAACTAACACTAGTGAATCAGGGAAAGGAAACAGTTAACTTCCGGTTGTCAGGGAACCTTTATGATTATGCAAACTGAGCATTTGTTAAATGATTCCTAGTAAGTGACAAGGTGGGTCCTTCACCTTTGCTGAGTACTGGAAATTGTAAAGTAACAGGCTCTTAGGGTTTTGATGGGGGTTCACTTCCTGAAATATATATATGTGGTCTTTTTAGATATTTCAAGGTAATGTATTTTAGTTAACACACATACACAAACTGGTTTTTCCTTAGAATCTCTTTTGAATCAAAAAGTTTATGTGTTTCTTTTTTAATTTTTTTCTTTTTCTTTTTGCTTTCTTGAGACAGGGTTTCTCTATGTAACAGCCCCAGCTGTCCTGGAACTTGCTTTGTAGACCAGGCTGGCCTCGAACTCACTGAGATCTGCCTGCCTCTGCCTCCCAAGTGCTGGGATTAACGGTGTGCACCACCATGCTCTGCTCTCCATTAGTCTTCGTAATAAAACTAAATAATGATATAGCTATACGTTTGAGAGTTTGTTTTCCTGAGAAGAAAATACATATTTAGTTACCAGCTGTGCTTAATTCTAAAGAGCTGTCATGTTTTCCTAAGGATTACTATTTTCTATTGTTATCTGCTAACAGTTTTAAAACTTGTCTTTTAAACCTGAGAGAATGCAGTGTCCCTTTGCTTTTACTAACTGGATAAATCATTGTTAGACAATGAAGCAAAGCCCTGTGTGTGCACTGGACCTTGGGTGGCTTTCAGATAGTGTCCAGTGCCCTACTGTGCTTCTAGTCATTGGGTGTGGTTACTGTATTGATAGTTTTGGGTTAAAGACTGAAGGAAAATAGCCGGATTCCAGGAGCAGAGAGCACTGTTTAAGCTGCTGTGCTTTTCTTCTCGTCTCAGCTTCTAAGCTCTGCCTTGGTCTTGGGAAAGTGTTATGCGTGTACACTGAATTCCTAGCACCCTGTGTAGGGGCCTAACCTTCTGAGTTGCATGTTGGCCAAAAGACTATGATTATGTGGGGGGGGGGGCAGGGGGACTTCTGGTTTGTATTCTTCTGTGATTGCAATATGAGGAATTGCATTCCTTTGGGAGACACTGTAGTGGAGTCTAGATTTTGGTGGTTGTGTTGCTTTCTCTAAAAGCTTTCATTCTTCCATTGATATGTTATCTATGGCACATATGGTCTTTATTTTGTTGAGTAGGAAGCTGTCCACCATCTTGTACAGTGTGACAATTAAAGGATGATTGAACTGTTAATAAAAAACTTTTAAAAAAGTGCTTGCCGGGTGGTGGTGGCACTTGCCTTTAATCCCAGCACTTGGGAGGCAGAGGCAGACGAATCTCTGTGAGTTGAAGGCCAGCCTGGTCTACAGAGGGAGTTCCAGGACAGCCAGAACTGTTTCACAGAGAAACTCTGTCTCGGGGAAAAAAAAAAATAATGCTTGCTGACATCCTTTTTCCCAGAAGACTACTACATGTGATTTACTACAGCTAGATCGTAGTTTTCTTTTGGCAAATGACATGTAATATTATGGAGGTCTTTTGTTCAGTCCAACAGAAACATCTGAGATACATTGGTATGGAAACTAAAGCCATTTAACATTTTTATTCACATGAAGAAATGGGTTAGACAGTTTGGGGTTTGGTTTTGTTGTAGTTGTTTCGATTTTGGTTTTAAAGTGGTAGCCCAAAAGCCTGGTATAGTAAGTAGCACACACTTTTAATCCCAGCATTCAGGGAGGCAGACACAGGCAGATATCGGAGTTCAAGGCCAGCTTGGTCTACAAAGAGAGGTCCAGGACAGCCAGGACTACACAGAGAAACCTTGTTTAGAAGAACCAAAAGAAAAAAAAAAAAAGGCTGTGTGTGGGTGAGAGGGGGTGTAGCCCAAGCTTTGAGAGATAGAGTTAGGAGGATCAGGATTTTAAGGTCATTCTCTGCTACAGATCCAGTTGAGGGCCACCCTTGGCTCCATGAGACCCTAGCTCAAAAACAGGAAGAGAAAGTGGAAAAGACGTAGAAAGAGTGAGTATTTAAGACAGATTTCTTTGAGGGGGTAGTTTATCACAGAATATATTCTCTGAAGTTAAGCATCATATATTCAGTTTGTAACTTAGTTTTATGCTTGTGGCTATCTTATGTTTAGGATTCTAAATTACAGTTAATCTTGGCCGGGCGGTGGTGGCGCACGCCTTTAATCCCAGCACTCGGGAGGCAGAGCCAGGTGGATCTCTGTGAGTTCGAGGCCAGCCTGGGCTACCAAGCGAGTCCCAGGAAAGGCGCAAAGCTACACAGAGAAACCCTGTCTCGAAAAACCAAAAAAAAAAAAAAAAAAAAAAAAGTTAATCTTGGATAAGTTCTTACATGCTTCTTATTTTTTTTCTTCCTCATCTAAATAACACAAGGTCAGGTGTTGCATTTTAGATACTAAAATTAGTATAAATTCTAAATCTGCAGTTTTTATTTTTAAAATGTAGAAATGTGTCCAACCTGTTAACATAGTCTTAAGTAATGAAGTGTTTCCAGTACTCTTGTAAAGAATATAGTTGAGATAATCCAATTATTTTAGCTTCTCGGTCTTAAGCATTATTTAAATACAGTTGTATGCATGCTGCCAAGAAGTGAAGAATCTGTTCTCATCGGTTTGAGCCCAGTTATGTTTTTGCTCATAGATACTCAGTTCCTAGGCACTGAGATTTGAGATGACTTTTCACTTCCAGTAAGGTAAGTGCCTTATTCGTTTTACTGCACATGCTGGCCAGTTTTTCATGTTACTGTAGATGATAGACTACAAACAGAAGCATTTCCTTCCCAACACCCAGTCATAAGATTGTGTTTTGACTTCCTTATTTAAAAAAAAAAAATAGGTAATTTAGGATTTGTATCAACTCTCCTTTGCTGTTAATTTATATTTTCTCTATTTCTCCTATCATCTATAACTACCTTAGAATATTGACATCAAGTAAAAAGGAATGGAAAAGTTGAAATGACAGTTACGATTTATCATTCTCTACTTTCAGATGATCACAGTCGTGTTAAACTGCAAAGTACTGAAAATGATTATATTAATGCCAGCTTAGTTGACATAGAAGAGGCACAAAGAAGTTACATCTTAACACAGGCAAGTAGTGTGGTGCTGGGTAGATACCTGGAGAGTGGAACTTGGCTGCTGTGCTTTAATCACAGCTAAATGTATATCTTGACATTTGCAAATGACATGCTATTTTAGTTTTCTGATTCTGAAATCAGTTGCAAACGTCATAGTTTTGAAACTATGAATATGTTGGTAAAAAGTAAGATTGTTTCTAATGTTACTATGTTCAATGGAGGAAATTCTTCTGAAATGGCTTGGTGCAGTTCTCTTCAGGTAAACTAACTTCTTGTACTGTATCTAACATAGCTTTTGTTATTTGGCTTGGAGTTCTCTTCCCCTAACTTGTGATGAAGAACCAGGAAGGCCCTTGAAAGCACTTTTCTGTCTATCTCTGCCCTATGAATATATTTTCAGAGAGTGCAGCTATGCTGAGAACAGGGTCTAAATGTGCAGAGCCTGTTATAGTGTAGTCCTCCCGCACCCCAGCCTCCACAAATGCAAGCATTGCTCTTCCATTCTGAGACCATAGCTTTCTCTTTATCAAATAAGAGGTTAAATAGCAGCACTGTCATTTCTGTCAGTCAAAATGTTCAGAAGTATAAGCTATAATGTTTGAGAGTTTTAAATTTTATTATTTATGTGTCTCTGTGTATATGTATATGTACATGTGTACCACGGTGCCCACAGAGGCCAAAAGAGGGTGTCCCCTAGAGTTGGAGTTACAGGCTGTTCTGAGCCATACAATATGGGTGCAGGGAACCAAACTCTGGTTTTCTGGAAGAGAAGCAAGTGCCCTTGACTGTATCTGTGAGAGGACCAGGCAAATAGTGTGACAGCCTGCCCTAATAACTCAGCTAAGAACTAGGCCTCTGTCCCTGCTTCTTGGAACTGAACAGGCAGTTTCTGAGGAAGTCACGAACAAAGGACAATTAATCTCCAACACCCCCGACAGCAAGGACAAGGAGGCCTGGTAAATGCAAGTACCAGGCCCGAGCTAGCCCCCACAGTCAGCATGTACTAGGTCAGCCAGCCTCCGCAGTCAGTGGCTCAAGGTGATAACCAAATGAGGACAGAGCCTGGAACTTGTCTAGTCCTGCCCAAAAATGGAACTGCCGTAGCCTTAATCAGCCCTTGCTAGCTCTAGCCAATTAGAACGTACTAATATGATTGCCACGTGCTTAAGCCAATCATTTCTGAGATGACCTAACTGCCCTAGGAACTCCCCTTAGCTGTGCTTAAAAGGAGCCCATACATCCCTGTCCCTCTTGGGGTCGTGGCCATTTTGCCTTTGGGTAGGATGGTTGGCTCAGCATGCTGGAATCTTTCTCGATTTAATAAATGCTCTTGTTGATGGCATACGTAGATGGTGACCTTTTGTGGGACTTCTCCAGGACCCTAACATCTGTAGCACCGTGTTTGAAGTTTTTAAAAAGTTTAACAGCTTAATGTAACCTGCTATTTGAAAGACAGAGAAAAGTATGAGTTGTTTTAAGTTCTACTTAATATACCTGTGAGCCATTAGAATTTTCTCTGTCAGAGAAACATTATTTTAAAGTAGCTCCTGTAACTAAAAAGGAAAGAGAAGCAATCTGGTGTAAAAGGGGCTAAGGATATCAATTCACAATTCACAAAACCAAATAAAGACAGACAGTGTACATTGGAGAAGATGCTGTGTTTATACAGCTATTAAGGAACATAGATTTAAAGTAGCCCAGGCACTGAGCCTCCACCAAGTACTCAGCAGCCTTCCCTTCAGGCCTCTTCTCTTTCGTACCCTCAGATCTCGTCCTGTCCCCTGCTCCTAACCTTCCTTCTCCCACAGTCACTTTCTGAAGGTGTTTACACCTAGGAGGAGGAGTATGCATGATTCCATCCAGAACTTTTACTCTCTTGAACCCTTTGCTGATCTACTAAGAACGATGAGCTGCTTCCTGCTGGCACCCATTTGAGATGCAACAGAGAATTAGCAAGAAGAACCTGACTGTTACTCCAGGGATTGCTAGTGTTTGTGGCCCCGAGCGCTTCATATCAAAGGCTAGCGCCACCATCTCCGAGCAACCTCATAGCTTTTATAATTTGAATCACTTATGGTCCTCTTTAACTTGGACCTAGTATGATTTTCTTCATGTAGTGACTTGATAATAAACAACTAAATAAAGTACAAAATGCTCAGTGGTCACTCATGGGATTGAAAAACTGATCTGAGAGGCCCAACAGAAATGATAATGTGTTTATTCCAACCTTAATTTCATGAGAGGACTGATGTGGGCTGAATGAATTAATCATCTCCATACCATTGAGGAGCAGTCAGTCATTTAGGGATTGGGAGTGTCAATTTGCTGTTCTATAGTAACTAAAGTTTTATGTTCAGTTATTATAATTTATGATTTTCTTAAATCAATATTCAGAGCTAAAAATGTACTTTCTACTGAAAATGAACATAAAAACATGGAAAAGCCTGATGTGTTATACTCTTGTTGCTGTGACAAATCTTGAAGGGAAATTTAAAAGGAAAAAAGATTTATTTTGGCCTCTAATTTCATAGATTTAAGTTCGAGGTCAGCTTTAAGGCTAAGATGAGGCAGACTGTTGTGGCAGGCAGGACACAGGGAGAACTAGGTGTGCAACAAGGGCATCCCCAGTGCTGTGCTTATTCCTGCCAAGCACTGCCTCCTAGTGCTGCCATACTAACCAGCGAAGGAATTAACCTTTGATTAGGCCCAAGCCCTTCCAAAAGTCCATCAAGAGACATCAGGCTTATAACACATGAACCCAAGGCAGAACGTTTCAAACCTAAACCAGAGCAGATGGTTGGTCACCCCTTTACAACTGTTCTTCTCTGCTGCCATTTTCCTCAGTCTCATTGGTTCTTCCGCTTACTCCCTAAAGACAGGTCTTTCTTAAGATTCTCTTTTAGCTATCCCCATGTCTACATTTCAGTTTTGGGGACCATGGTTTGTTAGTATGTTTGATTTTGTCAGGGTAGGGCCTAAAGACCCCATACACATGAGGTGAGTACTGCTACATCTGAACAACATTCCTTGCCTAGAGAACTACTCTCGCAGTAGGCCTGCACACCAGAAGAGGGCACCAGATCTCATTACAGATGGTTGTGAGCCACCATGTGGTTGCTGGGAGTTGAACTCAGGACCTCTGAAAGAGCAGCCAGTGCTCTTAACCTCTGAGCCGTTTCTGTATCCCCTCAGCCTGCTTTCTTATAGAACCCAGGACCATCAGCCCAGGGATGGCCCCACCCACAATGAACTGGGCTGTCACCCATCAATTACTAATTAAGAAAATGCCTTCAGGCCTGCCTACAGCCTGATCTTATGGAGGCATTTTTTTTTTAATTGAGGTTCTCTTCTTTCATATGACTTTAACGTGTCAAGTTCACATAAAACTATCCAGCACACTCAATGTAGTAGCTAACAACTCAGCTATTTATTGTGGCGCTTTTTCATTGCCACTTCTATTCAGATTAGTAATAATGGGATTAGTGATCTTTTTGTAAAGTTTTTTTGGTTTTTTTTGTTTGTTTGTTTTTAGAGACAGGGTTTCTCTGTATAGCTTTCCGCCTTTCCTGGGACTCACTTGGTAGCCCAGGCTGTTTGTAAAGTTTTTAAAATCTCATTGTGGTAAAAGGTCATAACAGTTTCATGATTTTTAAATCATTTGTCCCCTGTTGAACTGTTTTCTTGTGTCCTAACAGACAGGACTCAACATATTGGGAGTGGGGGAATTTAGCCGCTTGTTTCTGTACTTCTTTTTCTTCTGATTTCTTTCTGTATTTTTTCATTGCTCTGTGGCTGTTTTAACCTAGATCTTGAATTCTTTACTTCTGTGTCTAGTTGGTTGGTTAGTTGAATGATCCCCCTTCCTATTTCTTCACCCCAGTAAAGCTGTCCTCATCGTGTTCTTCCTAGTTTGCTAGCCTGCCCTTTTCAGAGTTGCTCAGTTCCACGTGTATCACTGCAGCTGTGTGAGATGTTTCCTTGTCACCAGATCCACCTGCTCTTCAGGCGGGGTCCACTCCAGTGTCCCCTACTTCTGCCATGTGCGCTTATGAGCCTTGGTTAGGTTTAGAACATGCAGAGTGACCTTAACTGCTCCTGTCCTGTTTCACCTCTCAGGCAGACTCAGGCTGTGTAGCTGTACCTTCTCAGGCTTTCTTAGAACATAAGAGCTGGTGATTTGGGTATTTGATGTTAGCGATGGAAGTAACTTCTCACCCGCCTGTTTGCACTTTGTAGGGGCTGAGACTATATTTCAGTCGTGGCTATGCATAGCATGTAACTTGAACAAAGAGAGAAAACCTATACTTAATGTTTGTTACTTACAGTATTTTGATTGTTCTTTGCTGCTTATTAGATTGTCTTTTGACTGAGTCTTTATATATATAATATATATATTTTATATATATTATATATATATATTATATATATTTTATATCATGTCCATTTTACTGTTTAAAAATCTGGTAGCATTTTAGCCAGTTGGTGGTGGCACACACTTTTAATCCCAGCACTGGGAGGCAGAGGCAGGTGGATCTCTGTGAGTTCGAGGCCAGCCTGGTCTAGAGAGAGATTTCCAGGACAGTCAGGGCTACACAGAGAAACCTTGTCTCAAAAACCAGAAAAAAAGAAAAAAAAAAAATTGGGGGGAAGCATTACTAGCTTGTGGAAGAACTGATAGATAAATTCCCATCTTTTTAGAATCCTTTGTTCTTCATACTATAACAGCTGTTTCATGTTTATTGTTTAGTCTTTAGAACCAGTAATAGAATTGAGAGGTATGTATGCGCACACAAAGGACTTCACTACTGAGTTGCTTCATAATTATCCCCCGTACCCCCCAACCCCGGAGCTGAGGACCAAACCTAGGGCCTTGCGCTTGCTAGGCAAGCACTCTACCACTGAGCTAAATCCCCAACCCCATAATTATTTTTAAAGAGTGCTTTCTTTATTTTATTATTTATTTGTGTGTTTATGTATATTTTCATATGTGCACTGTGCATATATAGGTGCCTAATGAGGCCAGAAGAGAGTATCAGATCCCCTGGAGCTAGTTATAGGTAACTGTGAGCCACACTGTGGGTCCTTTGAAAAAGCAGCAAGTACTCTTAACTGCCAAGCCATCTTTCTAGTCTCACTTCATGGTTGTTGTATTTTGTTTTGTTTTTCTGAGACAGGATCTCATTATGTAGACCAGGCTGGCCCTGAACTCACAGAGAATCCTCTTTTGGGGATTAAAGGTGTGGGTTACCATGCCCACCCAGCCCATGATATATTTTTTTTTTTTTTAAGATGAAAGGAAAAGGCATTCATTTTATTGATGATTTTCTCATTGCTTTATTTGGTGGGGAGGATGTTTGTTTTTTCGCCTTCAGACTGTATGTTTTATATTGGAAGTAGATAAGTACATTGAATGAAGAGGATTGTATCCTTTAACACTAAGGTTGTAATTTTGTAGATATCTAGCATTTTTACAGGTTAACCTTAGAGTTTATTCTTGAGCAGTATGTATTGAATATTGGCTACCCATCAAGAAATAAATCTTCCCTGAAGATGATTTCAGTGTAGAACTATTCAAACTCTCAGTTACATGTGGGACTGCAGCTCTGGTCTTCCCTGCTCCTGACACTGAACAGTCTGCTCCAGTCTGCTACATGGCTCTGGAAGTTGGCTACATGTTTAGATGGAGGTCAGTTTAATAGCTCAAAATGGTAGAGCATTTGCTCTGTTTGCATGAGGCCCTGGGTTGCATCTCCAGCCCTACAAAAAGGAAGGAAGGAAGGAAGTCAGAGTCTGGGCATGCCTCTTCATCTTTTGTCTCCTTCTGTCTCTTTTTTTTTCTTTCTTCCTATGCTATCACTAAGACAAATGTGAAAATAATTGGAAGTGTATATTTGCTTTTTTCTCCTCCATAGCATTTTGTAATAAGGACTACTGTATACTTTTAACTCTGCCAGATGATACTAGGCACAACAAACTGATTTGCAGGTGCTTTCATGATTCCTTTTTTTCCCCCTGCAAATTCTTTTGTGTTGATTTGGGCTGGTTGGTTGGTCAGTAATGACATAAACTTCCCCATTTTCCACAGATCTCCCCATGACTTGTGTGAGATATCTGTCTGTTGCAGAAACTGAAGGAGACAAATTTCCTTTTCTGAATCTTTTATAGCTAGAACATGAGCCCCCAGACATTCTCATTCTTGATTCTGATTCTGGCTTGCCTGTGTGTTACACTGTAGGCACCTTTGATCATGCCAGCAAAGCCATAATAATATGATAGATCAGAAGCAGTGAACTAAGTTGGTTTTGTTTACATGTATTTTATAATTGTTATTTGAATCTAGTTATCCAACTCTTAATTCTGAACCAGGTATCCCATACAGTTCTCCCTCCCAACCCCCAACCCCCACCCCCCATCCCCCCCAGCTGAGGACCGAACCCAGGGCCTTGCACTTGTTAGACAAGCACTCTACCACTGAGCTAAATCCCCAACCCCGCCATACAGTTCTTTTTCTGCCTAAGTAAATAAACCATCTTTACATAGAGGGACTATATTTTGAATTTAAATGCATTTAAAGTCCTGATTTTAGCAGGACCTAATCCACTGCCTATGATAGTGCATTCCAGCAGCATCCTTGAAGCTTTGTCCTTTTCCTGCTCCTTTGCCTGATGTGCTCTTGTTCTGTTATTACAGGGTCCACTTCCTAACACGTGTTGCCACTTCTGGCTCATGGTGTGGCAGCAAAAGACCAAAGCAGTTGTCATGTTAAACCGAACTGTAGAGAAAGAATCGGTGAGTAATGGTTAATCCTAATGGTTTAGTGTGCTGTATGTGATCATCAGTTTATAAATGTTTCATTTTGGGAGAGGATACACATTTAACTTTGGACCTTTGGTGGCTAAAGGGTAGTGGCCAGGATATTTCTGAACAGAGAAATAATGAATGCTTTTCCTTCCTCTCATTTTCATTACAAATTTAAAAAATTCGTTTTCTAGATTCATAGTGCTGTATGTTTTATTCTGTTCCATAAGAATATTTTCATGTAAGTGTAGGTGACGTGTTGAACATGTTCCCTGCCTCGCCTCCTCACTCCCCTTTTTCTCCCACCTCTCCTCCTTTTAGCCCTTTCTTTTGTGCTCTTCCTAGACAGTCCCACTTCCTCTCTCATGCCCATCTTCTAGATTCTGTATAGATAGGTAAATTAGAGAAAACATCCTCTCTGTTTTTCTGAGATTTTCATATTTCACTTGATACGTTTCTCTCTCAGTTGCATCCATATTTCTGCAGATGACATGACTGTGCTCTTTTTGGTTAAAACTTTTCATTCTGTAACTATACTCCATTTTCTTCATCCATCCTTCTGTAGACACCTGAGTTGGTTTCATAACTTAGCTTTCGTGCCTAGTGCCATGGTAAACGTTGATAAAATGTAGGTCTGTCTGTGATATGTTGACTTGGAGTCCTGTAGGTAGATACCCAGAAGTGTTATAGCTAAGTCATATTGTAGCTCTGTTTTTAGTTTTTTGTGGAACCTCCATACTGGTTTCTAGAGTGGCTGGACTAGTTTACGTTCTCATCAGCAGTGTGTACCAGCTCCTTCTGTCCACACCATTGCCAGCAGTTTTTTGGTTTTTGGTGGTGATGGTGGTGATGTTACTGTTATTGTTTTTCTTTATTTTGTGTAGCCCTGACTGTCCTCACAGAGATCACCTGCCTCTGCCCCCTGAGTGCTGGGATTTAAGGGGTGCACCACTATATCTAATAGTTACTTCTTTTCTTAACGACTGTCATCCCTCCTCGAGTGAGATGGGGATGTCACTGCAGTTTTAGTTTTCATTCTTCTGATAGCTGGTAAGATTGAACATGTTTTCATGTATATAATGGCCATTTGTGTCTTGTCTCTTCATTTCATTAGCCAATTTATTGATTGGGTTGTTTATGTTTTTGAGTTTTTGTATATTCTAGGTATTAGTCTTCTGTCAGATAAAATGGGTAGCAAAATTTTGCTATTCTGTCAGCATTGTTCACATAACTATTTGCTTTTCTGTGCAGAGACTTCTTAATTTCAGAGGTTCCTTTTGTCATCTGTTGACATGATTTCCTGAGTAGAGAGAGTCCTGTTCAGAAAGTCATTGCCTAGGTCTCTGATGTGTTTATGTGCGTCCACTAGGGGGAGCAGAATTTATTCTTCATTGCTTTCTGCGTTATTTTTGAGACCAGGCCTCTCACCAAACTTAAGGGCCCCTGTTTTAACTGGACTGGTTGTGAGCCATCAGGGTCTGCTTTTATCTACCCATCCACTTGTCTCCCAGTAACACCTGCATCAGAAATCACCTGGGCGAAGCTATGTTGGCTTTTTCTGGGTTCCCTTTCTATTGGATTGATCTGTGTTTCTTTTTGTGACAGTATCATGCCTTTTTGTTATTAGGGCTTTGTGGTATAACTTGAATTCATGTATGGTCTAGCATTTTTTTTTTTTAACTCAGAATTAGATTCCCCCCATCCCACGCCACCCAGGGTCTTTAGAACTTTCATAAGGGGATTAGTTTTTTGTTTGTTTGTTTAGGGGGGTTGTTTTGTTTTTGTTTGTTTGCTTTGAGACAGGGTTTCTTTGTAGCTTTGAAGCCTGTCCTGGAACTCATTCTGTAGACCAGGCTAACTTCGAACTCAGAGAGATCCTCCTGTCTCTGCCTCCCAAATGCTGGGATTGAAGGCACGTACCACCACTGTCTGGCTTGTTTTTGTTTTTCAAGACAGGGTTTCTCTTTGTAGCCCTGTGTGTCCTAGAATTCAGTCTTTAGACTTGGCTGTCCTCAAACTCACAGAGATCTGCCTGCCTCTGTCTTCCAAGTACTAGGATTAATGGTGTGCACCAACAACATCCAGATAAGGGTTTTAGGATTTTTTAAAAGTATATTTTTCAAATAGCATTGGAATTTTGACTGTGATTGCACTGAATCTGTAGATTGCTTTGGATAGTATAGCCTCTTTTACAGTATCAACCAGCTGACATACTTTCCTTCCTTTCTTCCTTCTGTTTGTCAGTCAGTATTAGGGGTTTATTACAAGGGTTTTTTTTTTTTTTGTTGTTTTGTTTTTTTAAGCTATTAGAGTGAGATCATTTCTCTGATTCTTTGTAAACATGTTTGTGTTGTTTTTAACAAAATCTGAATTGTTCAATTTTACCAATAAAGACTTGAGAGCTAGGTGCTGGGGTGAAAACCTACTAGCTCAGAGAAGCAGAGAAAGCACCCAGGTGACCTTCCTCCTCAGACAACATCCCGGAAAAACTTCCTCTCTCTTCCACGGCTCAAACAAAAAACTCCAACTGAATGTCCCTCCCTTCTACTTCCTGTGAGTCTCTCTATCCATCCTGACTCCCTCTTACTCTCTATGATTTTTTTCTTGTTCACTTCCTGTCACCTGGTTGCTTGCTCATCTCTTGACCTATGGTTAACTTTATTTAATCCTGTTTACAATAAGCAGAAAGCTCTTAGATTAAAGATATATGCTAGGGCTGAGCCACACCACAACTAGAATCAGATTTTTTTCAGTAAATAACGCAACCTTGGGGTTCACAGTGTGATCAAATATCCTGTAACATGTTTGTTATTGATATATATATAAAGACTACTGATTTTGTATATTAATGTTATATCCTGACACTTGCAAAACTGTTCATCACATCTAAGAATTTTCTGACACAGTCTTTAGGATCTCTTTTATGTAGGATCATTTTATCAATATATAAGGTTACATAGGCTTCTTCCTTTCCCATTTGTATCCCTTTCATTTCCTTCTCTTGTCTTAATGCTCTAGTTAAAACTTCAGCCGGGCGGTGGTGGTGCACGCCTTTAATCCCAGCACTCGGGAGGCAGAACCAGGCGGATCTCTGTGAGTTCGAGGCCAGCCTGGGCTACCAAGTGAGTTCCAGGAAAGGCGCAAAGCTACACAGAGAAAAACCCTGTCTCAAAAAACCAAAAAACAAAAAACAAAAAACAAAAAAAACAAAACAAAAAACAAAAAAACTTCAAGTACCATATTGAATAAGAGTAGAGGAAGATGAAAACCTCTGTCTTGTTCCTGATTGTAGCCAACATGTTTTGAATTTTTTTCCATTTGTTGTGATGTTGGCTATAGGTTTGTCATATATAGTCTTTATTATGTTAAAGTATGTTCTTTTCATTCCTAGTCTCTTTAGGACTTTTATCATGAAGGGATGTCTTTTTAACATGTGATGTCTGTCCTTGAGTCAATTTATGTGTTACAGTATGATTATTGATTTGCATATGTTGAACCATCCCTGCATCTCTGGAATGAAGCCAACTTGATCATGGTGAATGATCTCTTTTCTGTGTTCTTGAATTCAGTTTGCAAGTATTATATTGAGAATTTTGTAGTTATGTTCACCAGAGAAAGTGGTTTATCATTTTATTTATGTGTTTTGTCTTTGTCCAACATTACTACTAAAGTAATGCTGGTTTCTGTGGGAGGCCAGCTCCCACCTTTTAAAAGGGTTCCTATGAGGAGGAGAGAGGGATAAGAAACTTTTAGATAGAAAGATAGCGAAGAGGAGAAAGACAGAAACAGAATAGCTTTGGGAGGACCTGGATCAAAACCCAAAGGTCCCTTCTACCTCTTGAAAAGGGCTTTTGTTAACAATGCCAAGGGGTGGGGCAAAAGACCTCCCCTTCCTAGATCAAAGCACACCACACAGCCAAGTGTAGACCCTTCCAGACACCTGGTAACCATGCTCATGGTCAAATCATCTCCTTAGGCAGCCCTGCTGGGGAAAGCAAGCTCGGATTCTCGGATCCTGAGTAAGTTCTCACTAGGGAACCTCTATGGGTCTCTACAGGTTTCGCAAAGTGAATTTGGAATCATTTGTTTCACTGATTCTTCTTTGTATTGTTTCTTTAGTTTTCATTTCATTAGTTTCTGCCTGATCTTTTTCTTACAATCTACTTTTGGGCTTAGCTTGTTCTTATTTTTCCAAAGCCTCAGGTACATCATTATTTATTTGCAGTATCTCTGATGTATTTATTTACTTTTTTTTTTTTTTAATATTTATTTATTTATTATGTATACAGTGTTCTGTCTGCATATACACCTGCAGGTCAGAAGAGGGCACCAGATCTCTTTATGGATGGTTGTGAGCCACCATGTGGTTGCTGGGAATTGAACTCATGACCTCTGGAAGAACAGCCAGTGCTCTTAACCTCTGAGCCATCTCTCCAGCCCCTTATTTACTTATTTTTATGTTAGGCAACTACAGCTATAAACTTCTTTTAGAACTGTTTTCATTATATTCCACAGGGTTTAGAATGTTATGTTTTAACTTTTCATGCAATTCTGTATACATTTTTTATTCACTTGGTTTCTTTAGTGACCCATTTCTCATTCAGTGGTGTGTTTTCTTTTTTGTTTTTTTCTTTTTTGGTGTTTTGTTTTCAATCTATAAATCTTTGTATGTTCTGTAGTTTTTCTTATTGCTTTGAATTTTTATTCCATTGAGGTCAAGTGAAGCGTAAGACATTATTTCAGTTTTTTTCAAAATTTGCTTTCTATAAGCAATTGTGTGAACTTTTCTGTGAGGCAAACATCTGTCATTCCAGATAGAGCATCAGTGATAGAAACAGACAGTTGTACTCCAGTGTAGTTTGGCAGGTTAGTGAATGGCACTGTTTACAATAGCATAGGTGTGAAGTTGATTTTAGAAACATTGGTGATTTAGAACTGACTCTATTACCAAAGAAAAAACATCTCTCTCAAAGCCAGCTGTGGTGGTGCACACCCTCAATCCCAGTACTTGAGAGGCAGCCTGAGTTCGAGGCCAGCTTGGTCTATATAATGAGTTCCAGGGCAGTAGAGCTACATAGTGAGACCATGTCTCAAAAAACAAAAAGAAAAAAGAAAAACCTCTCTCTCTCTCTCCCCAGCCACTGTTAACTGCCTATAAACCCTTAGAGAGAAGCACCTAGTGAGTTCCTCCATACATGATGGAATGTTAAAGGGCTCAATCTTACACAGGTCTCCCATGGGTAATCACTGCTGCTGAAGTTCTAAAGCACAGTGGCGTCTCATTCCTGGAGGACAGCATCCCATAAGAGTGATCTCAAAGGAAGTTTCTTGGGCTGCTGCTAAGAACATGTAATCTGTGATGTCTTTTAGGTTAGTTTGGTCTACGATGTCATTTAACTCAAATCAGTTTTTGTCAGGATGGCCTGTCTGTGGTGAGGGATAGTCTCACTGAACCTGGAGCTCACTATTGGAAATTCTGTAATTGTTTTCTATTGTCTCCAAACTCATCTAAAAATTCAGTGGTGGGGACATTGTTTTGTTTGTTTGAATGTGTTGCAAATGAGATGATGTGTGAATTTCATCCTTCTGATTTCAAAGTAGAGTAGAATTCTTTTATTGATTCTCTGAGACTACCACCAGAACTTAGAAATGGTACTTGTGGATGCATCTAGATGCTAAGATGGAGTTGAATGATTCTTTTGGGAGGTGGGAATTCCTGCATAGGTAATACTGTGTTCTTCGTCAAAAGGCCTGTAATGTCTGCTTGTTTGTTCTAATGACCTAAGCATCTTTGTTGTTCAATTTTTACCTCTAGTTAATTTTGGCTTCCAAGATCGTATAGTTCTTTCCTTTTCTAGATTTAGTTGGCATGCTTCTACAAAAACAAAAACAGAAAAACTTTCTACCCAGCGGCTTTTATCCACATAGGAAACAGTTTTCAAACATGTTTCTTCTATAGTCTTCTCAACAGATGACTAATTGGAGTTTGCTCTATTTTGTGTGTTATGTATATTGCTTGGGCTTTTTGAGGTTTATTGTTGTTTTGTTGGGGGAGGTGGTTTTTTCAAGTTAGGGTCTATCTAATTATGAAGACCTGTCTGGCCTGCTGCTCCTGTGTAAACTGTGTTGGCCTTAAACCCAGAGTCCTCATCTTCTGCCTCCCAAGTGCTGAGACTAAAGGCATATGTCACTACACCCAGCCCTGGCTTTCTGGTTTTATTGAAGAGGAATGGTAGGAGTGGGTGAATTTCTAAATTTAAAAGGTTTGATTCATGCCAGGTAGTGGTGCACATCTTTAATCCCAGCACTCAGGAAGCAGAGGCAGATCTCTGAGTTTCAGGACAGCCAGGACTACACAGAGAAACCCTGAATAGAGAGGGAAAAAAAAAAAAAGATTTGATTAGTTTTATTCCTTTGCTTTGTATTGTACTTACTGGTAATCAAATAACTCCTTCATTGGCTAGCAAAGTTTCTCTAGGTTCGGCTTTAATCTTTGTGTTGCAGTGTTGAGACTTTAGTAGCGTCCTTTTCGCTGGAATGCCTACCAATTGCAGGTTCAGCTGATGCCACCTGAGACCTCGCATAGCTATTTGTCAGGAGCCTGTTTATACGGGACGGTGTTTTGTTTGTTTTTGATACAGGGTCTCTTTATGTAGTCATGTCTGTCTTGAGACTTGGTTGGCCTTGAACTCTCTGTAGGGATTAAAGGGGTGTACCACCACGCCTGGCTCTTTGGACAGTGATTTTTCTTGATCACTACAAAATAGGACATATGTTGCTATGAGCTCAATCATTGTTCTTAAGATTTTTCAATGAATACAGCTAAGGAAAATGTGTGTGTTAGGATAGATTGAGGCTCCCAGCACTCAGGAGGCAGAGGCAGGCAGATCTCTCTCTGAGTTTGAGTCCAACCTAATCTCTATAGTGGGTTCCGGGACAGCCAGGGCTATGTAGAGAGACAGACCCTGTCTCAATAAATTCTCAGGAGTACACGTTGATTTTTTTTTTTTTTCCTAATTCAAATCTGGAAATTTAGAAATTGGTTTTACTCCTTATGTCTTATGTCTGCTGCTCTTTTTCCTTTCCTGAAAATCCTGATTCAAAAAGACATCAGAAATATACCAAAAATACGGAATATATCAGAAATACCAGACATGAAAATTGTTGTATGACTCATTTACCTTTTCTGATAGCACAGAAAACAGTCTGAATAACATTGTCATCCAAAATAATTATTGATGATAGTCTGACATTTTTATGTTTTCCTCATTGTCTTTTGTTTTTTTTTTCCCTTTTAAGATTGATTTACTGTTGTTTATTTAATTTTCTTTTTCTTCTCTTTCTCTCTCTCTCTCTCTTTTTCTTTTCTTCTTGAGATAGGGTTTCTTTGTGTAGCCATGGCTGTCCCTGGAACTCACTCTGTAGACCAGACTGGCTTTGAGCGCACAGAGATCTGCCTGTCTTTCCCAAGGGCTGGCATTAAATTTGTGTGTGTGTGTGTGTGTGTGTGTGTGTGTGTGTGTGTGTGTGTGTACATACCACCATTGCCTAGGGATTTACTTTTATTTTTATGTCTGTTATTGTTTTGCCTACTTGTATGTCTTTGTGCACATGCATGCCTGGTGCTTGAGGGCAGAAGAGACATTATATCCCCTGGAAGGACTGGAGCAGGTGGTTGTGAGCAGCCCTGTGGGTGCTGGGAACCAAACCTGTGTCCTGTTCAACAGCAAGCAGCAAGTGCTCTTAATCACTGAGCCATCTCTCCAGCCACTCGGTTTTTGTTGTTTTTAGTTCTACTTTATCTAGAGCATGTGACATATCCCTTATCCCTCTTTAAATCTAAATTCTATACACATCCTTCATACCTGTGGAAGATTGGTTCCAGAACATTTAAGGATTGAATGTTCAAGAGGACCCACCTGAGTGTATTTAATACTTATCACCAGTCTTTGTTGATGTCTGTCCATTTATTCTAATACTCATTGTCAAGTCATAAGGAAGGACTCATGGGCATTAAAATTTTTTTTTAGATTTATTTATTTCCTTTATATGTATGAGGGTTTTGCCCAAATGTATGTGTGTACACTACATATGTACCTGGTAGTCTGAGAGGTCAGAAAAAGGCATCAATCCCCCTGGAACTGGAGTAAGGCATAGTGTGAGCTACCATGTAGGTTCTGGGAATCAAACCTGGGTCCTCTGCAAGAGCAACAAGTGCTCCTAACTGCTGAGCCATCTCTCTACCCCTCATGGGCATTTTAATCTCTGATGTCAGAGAAAGTGCATCTGCTATTTTAGTACTTTAAAGTCATTTTGGCAGGGTATAAAAAATTTTGGATCTTATTTGCTTTTCTTTGAACTAAAATACATTCATTTCTTTCTAGCATTATAGATTACTATCCAAGTCAAATGAATGTTACTTCTTTTAGAAATCCATTACTTATTTTACCTATATTACTCAAGTTTTCTCCCTTTTTCTTCTTTTTTTAAAATTTATTTATTTATTTATTTATTTATTTTATTTATTTTTTTTTTTTTTTTGGTTTTTCGAGACAGGGTTTCTCTGCAGCTTTGCGCCTTTCCTGGAACTCACTCGGTAGCCCAGGCTGGCCTTGAACTCACAGAGATCCGCCTGGCTCTGCCTCCCAAGTGCTGGGATTAAAGGCGTGCGCCACCACCGCCCGGCTTAAAATTTATTTTATATGAGGTATATGAATGTTTTGCCTGTGTATGCGAATGTGTACCATGTGTATCCCTGTTGGATCCCCTGGAACTGGGATAATGGATGGTTGCGTACCATCATATGGGTGCTAGAAATCAAACCCAGGTCCTTTGCAAGAGCAAGTTCTCTCAACCACTGAGCCATCTCTCTAGCCCCTCTCCCTTTTTCTTTAACATTAATTTTTCCAAAATATGTCTTACCATTTGATCAGTTTTTTCAGGTAAATAGTTTTGGCCTTTAAATATGTAGCTTCAAATGCCCCCCTTTCTTTAAAGAAAGAAAGGATTATTAAATCATAGTTGGTATTTATTTGTTCTGCTCCTATTGTTGTTGGTGGTGTTCTTTGGGCCCCCCAGTATAAATATGTTGGATTTTCTTTTACATTTGTCCTGTTCTCCTTGATGTTGTTTCTATTTCTCTCTTTACTGTAAAATGTCCTCCTTGTCCTCTTACACTTTATTTGTTACACTTACCCTGAGTAGCAATTCTAGGTGTGTGTCAGGGAAGGGGGGATGTTTCTGATTCTTCTGGTTGCCTGTCCTGGAATTCACTCTGTAGACCAGGCTGGCCTTGAACTCACAGAAATCTGCCTGCCTCTGCCTCTCAAGTACTGGGATTAAAGGCATGTGATAACCACTAACAGGCTTGAAAGAAAGCCTCATTGGTGTCTGCTGAAGATAAGATTCTTGCAAAATCGTGATATTTTTAGAAACCTGAAGTAAATATTTTAAAATGTAATTATGCTTTATGAATAGCATACTTTAGCAAGGCATGGTAGCCCATGCCTTTAATCCCAGCATTCAGGAGGCTAAGGCAGGTGGATCTCTGTGAGTGCACAGCCTCATCTACACAGTGAGGTCCAGGACAGCCAGGACTATATATAGTATAAAGTATATATAGTATAAAGAGACCTGTCTCAAAATAGAAGAATAGCACTTTTTATAAATCTGTTATCTGTTTATAGCTTTTTAAATTTAAAGGAAACATTTTATGGAGCTACTTTACAAAATGTCATTCTCATTAAAATACTTCAGATATTCTTAGTATTCAGTACCTGAAAAGTATAGTGTGTACATGTGAGGTTTGTTTTTCTTTTTATGGTTTTATATGTCTAAACTGTTATTCTTAAATTTAGGTTAAATGTGCACAATATTGGCCAACAGATGACCGAGAGATGCTGTTTAAGGAAACAGGATTTAGTGTGAAACTCTTATCCGAAGATGTGAAGTCATATTATACAGTACATCTACTACAGTTAGAAAATATCAATGTAAGGCTTTTCTGGTTTCAGAGTTTCAGTTTTATCTGATGGTTTTAAGAATTCTTTATTACTAGATTTGGTACTGTGCTTGGATTTGAATATTTGTAATACTATCTGGTCAAAACATGTTTAGATTGTATTTCTGTATAAAGTGACTCTGAAGAAATCCTAAAAACAAAGAATTACAGTGTTCAGGTTAATATTAATATTTGAAGATTGAAAATTAATTATTGGCACTGGAGAAAAGTCTCAGTGTTTGGGAGTGCCTGCTGTTCTTGCAGAAGGTGTAGATTCAGCTCCCAGTACCTGTGTCAAGAGGCTCACCACTGCCTGTAACTCCAGCTCTAGGGAAACCAGTGCCCTCTTCCGGCCTCCACAGCCTCTGCTACATACACGATGCACATAGATATATGCAGACATTCAAACATACACATAAGTGCAAATAAGCCAATAATCATGCTATGTGGTGATGGCATACGCCTTTAATCCCAGCACTCGGGAGGCAGAGACGGGCAGATCTCTATGAGTTCAAGGCTAGCCTGGTCTACAGAGTAAGTTCCAGAATGACCAGGGTACACAGAGAAACCCTGTCTCAAAAAAGGAACAGAAAAAAGAAAAAAGAAAAAAAAAAGAATTACTAAAAATACAAGAAGGGATGTTGTAGGTTTTGGGTATAGCTTGGTGATCAAGCACTTGCTTAGTATACTCTAGGCCCTAGATTAAGTCCCAAGAACCGAAAACTAAACTATAAGTGGGTAGTGAATATAGCTGAGTTGTAAGGTACCTTCTTGGCATGCTTGAAGGTTTGGGGTTTAGTACCCATCACCAAGAAAATGCAGAACAACATCCTTGGGAATAAAGAGAGCATCGCTGGATTCACATTCCTGTTCTGCTACTCAGTAGAGGTGTGGTTTCCTCATCTATGAGATGGAAATTGTGTATTTGCAGGCTGTTGTGGAGATCAAATAAAAGTATAGTTGTGTATAAAACATCTTATGCCAATAGGCTCAGTCTGATAGCTCCTGGTACTTAACTACTGTTGAAAGTTGAACCAAGGTTAAAAAAGACTTTAATAAAAAACTTGGAAGTGACATACAGAAATTTGATTTTATTGAGTTGGGAAGAAAATGGTAAAGTAAGTGTAGTATATGATCTCAGGAGATCTAGATCTAGATCCTAGATCTTTTCTCCAGAAGTCCATGAATCTCTCCTTGGTACATGGTTCTGACACGTATGCACAATAGACTGCAAACATGTTGCTGTCACCCTGAGTATCAGAGAGGCCAATCTTTCTTCTTTCCCATTTATCTCCTTTGCTTGCACTGTGAATTAGAGTAAGTTAGAAAAACAATGGAGAGTGTTTTGAGTTGTTAATAGAAACTAGTATAACTAGAAAATGAGGAAATGTGGAATGGATCTAGTCCATAGACACTTCATAAAGTGAAATACTGTTTGAGTTGATTATTAATATGTGATGTGCTAACAACTAAAGATCTGTAGAAAAGATAAATACATACATGTACTTTTTAGATGGCTGTAAATACCTTTTGTGGTTGCTCTTAGAAAATTTGTTTTTCCCTATAGAGAAAATGTAGCTACATTATTATATACTTAGGGCCCAAGGTTTGGTTTTCTTCCTGTCCAGTTTTTCATGATCCTCACGTGTTTTATAGCTCACCTAATTACTTTGTTCATTTGTTTGGTTGTTCTTTTTGAGACAGGCCCCAGAATTGCCTTGAAATTCCCTATATAGTCAAAGATGGCCTTGAGCTTCTGATCTTCCTATCTCTAACTCCTGAATGTTGATATTACAGGCATGCACCACAACACCCAGTTTTATGTGCTGCTAGGGATTCAGCCAGAGTTTGGTATATGACCCAGGGCTTTATATATAAGGCAAGCGCTGTTTCCACTGCTGTAGCCCCATCTCGAGTATTTTTGTTTTCACATGTTTCCAAAACATGTTTCTGCAGCAGTAATTATGTGTGTGTATAAGAGAAAAAATTAAGGGCCTGCAGAGATGGCTCAGTGGTTAAGAGCACTGGCTGCTCTTCCAGAGGTCTTGAGTTCAATTCCTAGCAACCACACGGTGGCTCACAACCATCTATAATGGGATCTGATACCCTCTTCTGGTGTGCAGATGTTCATGGAGATACAGCACTCGGATACATAAAATAAATAAATCTAAAAAAAAATTATTTAAAAAATGGGAGCTAACTTCCCCTTGATTTTCACATTTCAGAGTGGTGAAACCAGAACAATATCTCACTTTCATTATACTACCTGGCCAGATTTTGGAGTTCCTGAGTCACCAGCTTCATTCCTAAATTTCTTATTTAAAGTTAGAGAATCTGGTTCCTTGAACCCAGACCACGGACCTGCAGTGATCCACTGCAGTGCAGGCATCGGGCGCTCTGGTACCTTCTCTCTTGTAGATACCTGTCTTGTTCTGGTAAGTGTCCCTGGTGACCTCATTTCAGTTTGGGTGGCTTGTTTGGTTTGGTTTGGTTTGATCTTTGTGTAATAGCCTTGGCTGTCCTGGAACTCTGTTTGTAGACCAGGCTAGTCTCAAAGTCACAGAGATCCAACTGCCTCTGCCTCTCGAGTATTAGGATTAAAGGCGTGCACCACCCTGCCTGGCCAGTTTTGTGTTTTTGCTTTGCTTTGTTTTTTGTTTTTGTTTTTCGAGACAGAGTTTCTCTGTGTAGTTTTGGTGCCTCTCCTGGATCTTGCTCTGTAGACCACGGTGGCCTCGAACTCATGGAGATCTGCCTAGCTCAGCCTCATGAGCGCTGGCATCAAAGTTGTGCTTCAGCCGGGCGGTGGTGGCGCACGCCTTTAATCCCAGCACTCGGGAGGCAGAGCCAGGTGGATCTCTGTGAGTTCGAGGCCAGCCTGGGCTACCAAGTGAGTCCCAGGAAAGGCGCAAAGCTACACAGAGAAACCCTGTCTCGAAAAACCAAAAAAAAAAAAAAAAAAAAAAAAAAAAAAGTTGTGCTTCACCACTGCCTGGCTTGCTTTGCTTTGTTTTATGGTTTTATGTCAATGAAGGGCTTCCCTGTGTAGCCCTGGCTATATCTAGAACTCACTCTGTAGATGAGGCTGGCCTCTGAACTCAAGAGATTCACCTGCCTCTGCCTCCCTAGTTGTGGGATTAAACATGCATGCCACCAAGCTGATAAACATTTGTAAAGGATTTTAAAATTATGTGTGTGTTTTCCCTACAAATATGTATGTGTACCATGTGCCTGACTGGTACCTGAGGAGGTCAGAAGAGAGCATTGGATTCCTGAAACTTGAGGTGCACATAAAACTCTAGGTTTTTTTAGGTTAAACCTGTACTTTCTCATAGAAAATCTCTAGCTTCCATTGTTTATCTCCTGGCTGGTATATGAGTATGTCCCAAACAATTCCAAAGATTTTCTAAGAAGTTTTTCTCAGCCAGGCATGGGTTGAACCTGTCATCCAACACTTAAGTAAGCTGCCACAGAAATTTTGCCTCAAGTTTGAGGACAACTTGGGCTAAGGAGTGAGACCCTATCCAAGAAAGGGAGAATAAAATTAAGTCTCCCAACCTAAAAGAGAGAGAAATTGCAAAATGAAAAAAAATACCGATGTAGTAGTTAGTGTGTGCCTATCATCTCGGCATCTGAGGCCTGTAAGGGTTACCTAGTAAGATCCCACCTCCAAAGGAAATCCCAGTCTCAACTGGGGAGATGGCAAGCAAGAGAGTTTAAGTTCAGATTCCCAGCATACACTTAGAAGCCAGGCACAGTGGTACATAATTGTAATCCCAGAACTTGGGGGGAGTGGAGTCAGGTGGATCCCTAGAACTCACTGACCAGATCATTGAGACCTGTCTTAAAAAACAAGAAAGAAGGGCTGGAGAGATGGCTCAGCCGTTAAAGGCTAGGCTCACAACCAAAAAAAAAACAAGAAAGAAGTCCAGGTGTAGTGGTATACACCTTTAACCCCAGCAGAAGGAGAAGATTCTCTGAGTTCCAGACCAGCCTGGTCTACATTGCACGATCCAGGACAGGACAGCCATAGCTACATATTAGGGACCCTGTCTCAAAAGAAAAAGCAATTGAGGAAGATACCTGACATCTGCCACTGGTCTCCACACACATGTACATGTGCCTCCACAAATACATCCATACGTCATATATACATGCACAATATAATTTATAATTTTTTAAAAATATATTTGAAAATTGGATGCTAGCAGACTGGTTGAGCAGGTTAAGATATTTGTTGCCCAGCCTGATGGCCTGAATTCTACCCCAGATCCTACTGGGTATGAGCAAGTCAACTCCCACAAATTGTTATCTGACTTTAAATATTTTTTAAGCCAATGTGGTGGTACATGCCTCTAATCCCATGCTTAAGTGATGGAGACAAGAGAAACAAGAACATTTGGAGTTTGAGCTAGCCTGGGCAACACGAGAATATGTCTCTAAACACATGCCACCACCACCCCCTTTGTGGTAGCTTTGTATACAGAATTAGAAACTTCTGCCTTCAGTTAAATTCACGTGTCGTATTAAATTTTTTTTTCTTTCATGGGTAAGTGTTTCATCTCTCATTTAAAAGCCAAGGCTAATTAATGTACTTCCCAGGGTTACTATGAAAATTCTGTGAATTAATGATATTTTCTGTTCTGGTTAGCTTCAACTGTCAATTTGACACAGCCTAGAGTCATCTCAGAGGAACACCTCAATTAAAAATTCTGTAGATCAGATTGGTGTTATTTGTAGAGATGTATCTTGATTACTATTGGTATAGGAGGACCCAGCCCACTTGTGAGGATTACCATCTCTAGGCAGGTAGTCCTAAACTATATAAGAATGGGGGGTGAGTACAAGCTGCCTGTGAGCCATCAACATCCTCTATGGTTATGACTGTAATTCTTTGACTGTGTAAGAATAATGGGTGGTTGCCACCATGTGTCAAATCATTTTTTCTTTAAGAAGAACCACAGCACAGCTAAGGTCCGAGCAGTGACCTTGTATTGCTTCTGTTTTCTGGACTCAGACAAGTTGGTTTTGACTTTCTTGCAGATGGAAAAAGGAGAAGGTGTTAATGTGAAACAAGTATTACTGAATATGAGAAAGTATCGAATGGGACTTATTCAGACACCAGACCAGCTCAGATTCTCCTATATGGCCATAATAGAAGGAGCAAAGTACACACAAGGAGATTCAAATATACAGGTAAATCACTGTCACTAATGTTAGGTAACCAGACTCCATCTATGTCCGCATTCTTTCCTTACTCAGTTTGGTAGACCAGCTGGCTGTCTTGAAATTATAAAACTTCCCAGCATTCGCCAGGCAGTGGTGGCACATGCCTTTAATCCCAGCACTCAGGAGGCAAAGGCAGGCAGATCTCTGAGTTTGAGGCCAGCCTGGTTTATAGAGCGAGTTCCAGGATAGGCTCCAAAGCTACACAGAGAAACCCTCTCTCGAAATAACTAAAAACAAAAACAAACAAACAAAAAAACTTCCCAGCATTCAGGAGGCAGAGTTGGTAAGCCAGTTGCTGAGAGCTCAAGGCCAGCCTGGTACATTATATTGAGATCCTGACTTTTAAAAAAAAATTGTGTGTATAATTTAAGAACGTAGGCTCATATATACTGAGCATTAGTGGAAACAAGATTCCATTAAATTTTTACATGTGGAAGGATTTAAGCATTTAAATATTGAAATAAGTCAGAAAACATAACCTTTATCCTAGTGAACACTTCATGTGGGGGTCTGGGAGATGGCTCAGCGGTCAGTAGTTACAAGCACTGGCTGTTCTTCTAGAGGGACCCTAGTTTATTTCCAGAACCCATGTCAAACAGCTCACAACCATCTGTAACACCAGCTCCAGGAGATCCAAGACCTTTGGATCCCCTGACACCATTTGCACTCCTGTACACATACCTAAATGCACACACACATAATTAAAAATAATGGAAATAATTTTTTTAAAGTCTTCGTGTGGGCGTAAAGAATATTTACTTTGTAGGTGCTTGTCTTTATATCTGAATAGCTTCCAGTCTTATGGCAGACGTAAAGTACCAGGAGTAGTCCTTACTTGTCTGGCAGTGACATGCTCAAGAATTTTTCATTGTTGTTTTTGTTTGTTTGTTTTTTCAAGACAGGGTTTCTTCTGTGTAGCCCTGGCTGTCCTGGAACTCAGAGGTCTGCCTCCCTCTGCGTCCCAAATGCTGGAATTGAAGGCATGTGCCACCACCGCCTGCCTTTATGTGATTATTTTTATGGATGTGTACATGTTTGTGCTTTCAAGCAAGTGCTAGTGTACATATGTGCAGAGGACAAAGGTCACTGTCAGGTTCACCTTTCTGTTTTCTGCCTTATATTGAATAATTGCAACTTGCAGACTTAAAGAAAACAATTTTTTTTTCTTTTTTTTTTTTTGGTTTTTTTCGAGACAGGGTTTCTCTGTGTAGCTTTGCGCCTTTCCTGGGACTCACTTGGTAGCCCAGGCTGACCTCGAACTCACAGAGATCCGCCTGCCTCTGCCTCCCGAGTGCTGGGATTAAAGGTGTGCGCCACCACCGCCCGGCAAGAAAACAATTTTTATTGCTTATTTGTAGCTGGATATTTTTCTGTCATACCAGCCAGCTCCCAGTCACAACATGGAGACTTATTATTAAATGTGAAAGCTTGGCCAATAGCTTAGGCTTGTTTCTAACTAGCTCTTATAACTGAAATTAACCCATTTCTAGTCATCTATGTGCTGCCCAGACTCATTTGCCTCATCTACATACTGCCCATCTTGCTTTCCTACTTCCTCCAGGTCTCCTTACATCTCCACCTTCTTCTTCCCAGCCTTCTTTTCTTCCCTGAAAATCCTGCCTAGCTATTGGCCATTTAGATTTTCATTAAACCAATCCAAGTGACACGTCTTCACAGTATACAAAAAGATTATACCAATAAAAAAACAAAAAAACTGTTCCACAGCCCTTCCTTCTTTCTGTCTAAATAAAAAGGAAAGGCTTTAACCCTACGCGGTAAAACCATGCACAGTGAGAACAATAACCAGGTTTCGTCTAAATAGAAAGGGATGACATCAGCTCTAACAAAGGGCACTACACACATCGAGAACAACTGTCAAACAAGAACCTTACTTACAATGTCCAGTCCACCTGTGTTTGGCGTATTTGGAGAAAATACTCCATTATCTATCCTATCTTGATGAATTCAAAGTTTTATATTTATACCTATTATAACTTGTATTACCACCCTAAAAGTGCCTTTTTAGACCTCAAAACATCTTTTTAGATAAACAAATTAAGCTTTTTTTTTTTTACCTTATAAACTAAATCTCTTGTGTAAGTTTATTTTCTGAATTTGATAACAAGGAAAACTGTAAAACTATAACTATCTAGTCTTCAATCTCCATCAGAGCCCCAAGAAGAATAAAATATTACTTGAGTAAACAGGAAGTGTACAGAAAACAACTTCCAAAACTAAGAAATGAGAGAGACATCTGGTTACCTGAGTTTTTCTCTTGTGCCAGCCAGCCCCCAATCATGACATGCAGACTCATTATTAATTATGAAACTCGGGCTGATAGCTTAGGCTTGTTTTTAGCTAGCTCTTATACCTTAAACTTACCTGTTTCTACTAATCTATGTGCTGTCCCGAGGCTCATTTACCTCATCTATGTACTGTTGTTCATCCTCCTTTCCTGCTTCCTCCTTGTCTCCTGGGTCTCTGCCTTCTCCTTCCCAGCATTTTCTCTTCCCTGAAAATCTGCCTAGCACTTGGCCATTTAGCTTTTTATTAAGCCAATCCAAGTGATGCATCTTCAAAGTGTACAAAAAAATTATTCCACACTTACTACTTCTCTTCTGTACCTAGAAACGGTGGAGAGAACTCTCCAAAGAAGATTTGTCTCCTGTTTGTGATCATTCACAAAACAGAACAATGACTGAAAAGTACAATGGAAAGAGAATAGGTTCAGAAGAGGAAAAACTAACAGGACTTTCTTCTAAGATGCAAGACACTGTGGAAGAGAACAGTGAGAGGTATGTGCCATGTGGTGACCTACTAAGAAGGATGAGGCTGTTTAATAAATTCTGGATGTGTGAAATAATACAGATCTTTTACTTAGGTCAAAGTGTTTGGGTGGTGTTTGATGACAGAAATGTTTTCAAAGAGTTTACTGCCTTATTAAGAAAGCCAGCACGAGCTGGTCTGTGGTGGTACACTCCTTTAATTCCAGCACTCAGGAGGCAGAGACAGGCGGAACTCTGTGAGTTTGAGGCCAGCCAAGTATACAGAGTGATTTCCAGGACAGCCAAGACTACACAGAGAAACCCTGTCTCTTAAAACTTAAAAAAAAAAAGAAAGAAAGAAATTAGTTAAAATTCACCTCCCCGGGACTGTAGGTATAGTATAACTCAGTGGCAGAACTTACATTCAATATACACAATGCCCTGGGCTCAGTCCTAAGCATCAGGGGGAAAAGTATTTGCCTGCATCTTATAAAAGCTAACATTTCAATGTACAGGTACTTGTGCCTTTATATTTTAAAGATGTATTTTAGTGGAGCAAATTAACTCCTTATTAATGGCTTTAGTAGTCTAGACTACTAGCAAAAGTTTAAAAGTTGTTCCTCCTGGTATACTGGCAAAAGGAAATATGCACACAAAGCAGGCTGGCTTCCTTATTTGTACTCTTAGATCTTTTTACTTATGAGTTGTTGTGGTGAATTTTCATTTCTTAGAGCAAATTCTAGCAAATACCTTTCCCAGCTTGTAGTAGTAAGCATTCTGACAGCTTTCACATAGGCAAGCGAGGCTGTTTATCTAATAAGTAATAAGAAAAAGAATCAGCGGTGGCGCACACCTTAATCCCAGCACTTGGGAGGCAGAGGCAGGCAGATCTCTCCCAGACAGGCACCAAACTACACAGAGAAACCCTGTCTTGAAAAACCAAAAAAGAAAAAAAAGAAATGAAAAAAGAAAAAGACAAACACCTGGGCATTGGTAGCACACCTAAAATCCCAGCACTTGGAAAAGAGAGGCAGGTGGATCTCTTGAGTTCTGGTCTACAAAGTGCGTTCCAGGATAGCTAGGGGTACACAGAGAAACCTTGTCTAAAAAAAAAAACAAAAAAAGAAAGAAAAGGAAAAAGACAAGCAAGACTCCACAGGACTTAGCAATATAGGTGTACACAGCTTATTTATTATGATCCCAACTTCGATGTTAATAAGAAAATACAGTTCATGACTGAAGATGTAGCTTACCTCATGTGCACAAAGCCCTGAGTTACATCTCTGGCACCACTTACAAAAGTGGATGAGTAATTCCAACACTTGAGGAAGCGGGAGGATCAGAAGTTGAAGGGCATCCTTAGTTACACACTGAATTGGAGGCCAGCCTGGAAACCTTGTCTTTGGGTTTTTGTTTGTTTTTAAATGATGGCCAGCAAATAATCACTGAATCCTATCATAAGAGGAAGATACCCGACTTCCCACAGTTGTCCTTTGACCTCTACAGGTTCTCTCTCCCTCCCTCTCCTTCCCAGCATGCACATAAGCACAGTAATTAAATTAAAAAAGAAACTCAGAGGTGTATACCTGTACTCAAGCACTCAGAGGGCTGAGGCCAGAGAATCTCAAGTTCCAGGATAGCCGGGCTTGCATAATGAGATCTGTCTCTAAAAATAAGTCGGGAGTCCTTCATCTAGTCAGGGCTCATGCTTGTATCTAGTGAGGTGATGCTGTGGTATCCCCAGTCTGGAAGAGGTTCCACACCTTTTCTCCTTTGCTTGTCACATGATCTTTGAGAATGTCTCAGAGTTTGGATTTCTTTAATCATTGTTTTTCTTAGTTAGATTCAAGTTAAACATTTTGACCAGGAACTGTCTTGGGATCTAATAGATACTGAAAAGGCAGTCAAGATTTTCTTTTATCAGGATGAATGTTCAGTGCTGTGACTTAAAAAAATCACTGCCAAGACTGAAGCTGGTCAGGTGTTTGCTGTCACATATGTAAGTGAAAAGAGATGGGGTTTGTGATCATTTTTGTCTAGCAGAAGAGTTCAGTGGCTGACATGTTGACATTGACCATTCTTCTGTGAGTCCAGGACTGATTGCCCTGGATGCAGAGAGCTTTCAGTGAAATAAAATTCCATATTGACAGGAAGATGGCAGCTAGAAATTTGTGTGGTTAAACAGAAGAGTAGGCACCCTCCAAACAGAGCATTCATAGAAATAGTCAAGAGTATTTATCAAAGGACTTTGAGCTTTTGTGTGCTGTAACAAAAAGGGACCAGATGCTGGAGAACCTCCAGTCTGTCCCCTCTTAGCTAGTTGGGAAAGCGAGAGAGGAAAGAGGAGGAAGCAGGCAGTTTTGAAAAAATGTCTGACTTACCTTCAGGTCCTGGTAAAGTGTTACAATCAGTGTACCAGAAATTATACCCGGGTTGTCAGAGGGTATCATGGCATGTGGATCAATTGGCTTTCCCTTGATTGCTCCATTGTCTGAAGGAGATGTACACTGTGAGAATGTCTGTGGTTGGTTGGTGGCCAGGCCCGTGTGTCAGTGTAATTAAGGCCTGCTGTGCAGACACTTTAATTTGTCTCTGTCTATTCACAGTATTCTCCGGAAACGTATTCGAGAGGACAGAAAGGCTACCACAGCCCAAAAGGTGCAGCAGATGAAACAGAGGCTCAATGAAACTGAACGAAAAAGAAAAAGGTGGTTATATTGGCAACCTATTCTCACTAGGATGGGGTTTGTGTCAGTCGTTTTGGTTGGCGCTTTGGTTGGCTGGACACTGTTTTCTCAGTGAAATGTGCTGTAAATAAACAGTTTCACCCAGCACCTTTCTGCACTAGTAGCTGACAGTGAGTGCTACATTAATCTCAAGGGTTTGTTAGCAAATGCCTCATACCCCAAAACGTTGCAGTAGACTAGACACCAACCAGTAAGGGATATTTAGTCACAAGCCCAACATCTCAGGACTCATCACTGCAGGTTCCTCTGAGACCCAAACTTCAGTGACTCAAAATAAAGACAAACGTGCTTGTTGAAAACTGTTACATCTTACAGCTGTGTTCACACATGTCGAGCATCATGGTTTCACTAACCAATGTTGAGAAATCCTTTATCACAAGGATTGGCTTTTGGAGGCTTTCTGGATTTTAACCTGCACTTGATATAAGCAATAAACATTGTGTGTTTTTTCTACATTATTAATGGAAAGAAAATATCCTTTAAATGATGTGTGTAATGTGTAATGTACTGTTGAAATGGGCATTACAACTTTATATGCTTAACCATTTTAGGGTAAATATATTTTATAAGTACCTATTTAATCTTACTTTTGTAGTTAAATGTACTTTAAAAATTCAACTTGAAAATCTGTTACCATAGAAAAATAAATTGTATGTTGACTCAGTTGTATACCGGATACATTTTCCCTTTCCTGAATAGAAGTTTGATAGAGGCAGTTGAAACTATGAGCGAGCTATTTCTACTACACAGTTTTATTTCTTTTGTATTTTATGGTTTATCTTGTTTTAAAAAGAAAAGCAAAGAAACAGAATTTTTCTAAACATGTCATTGAGGGAAAATTTTCCTTTCTGTGATAGTCAAGTGACAGTTGGTCAAGACTTAGTTTAAACAACAACAACAACAACAACAAAAACCATCCTGTTTTCTGCAGGATGTGATGGCACACACAGTGCTCAGGAAGCTAAGGCAAGAGACTCAAAAGTTCGAAGCCAGCCAAGACTGCATAGCAAGGTCCTATCTTAAAATAGAAGTAGAAAAGGAGGCGCTGGAGGGGAGGTCAGAAAACACCAAGAATGAGAAATTGGTTCTTAGCCATAGGTGATGGTGCAAACCTGTCATCTCAGCACTTGGGAGATAGAGGCAGAAGGATTACAAGTTCAAGGCCAGCCAGGACTACAAGAAACACTGTCTCAAAAAACTGAAGTGGTTAAAAGAAAAGAAATTGATTTCTGTAAAGTAAAGCCCATGCATGACTTACACTGTTCTTTTTTTTTTCCTTTTTTGTGAAAATGTTAATGTAATTACCTGAACAGGATAATTTATGATTAGTAAGTAAAAGGAGCCAGCGTTTTATACATAGGATTTTAGCCCATTAGACTGAAATTTTGAAGTTAAAAAATTCAGGTTCTTTCTAAGTTCAATAAATAGTACGTTGGTGTACAAACTCACATTGTCCCTTACCTTTGTAATGGGTTTTTTTTGAAGCATATAACCACTAACAGGGTTTTGGTGGTCTCATAGTCTGTGCTTTGGATTTCAGGAACATTACCCAGGCAGTGGAGATGTTCCAAACCACTAGGACAGCATCTCCGCTTTGTGTCTTTCATATATCATGTCAAATTGCATTATAAGGCTTAATTACTTTAAATGAGACAGTTAATTTAATGCATTTTGAACACTGTAGGTATAGCTAGGAGCTGTGAATGGCCTTGAGAATCAGTCTTGAATGTGGTAAATTTACCGAAAGTCTGAAAGCGGGATGTAGGTGGTACTGCACACTAAATACGATCATGTAATGAATGTCTGAGTCTGATTCAGTATTACTATGTCCTGTAACTTTGAAATGGAGAACAGGTAAGCAGGATGTTTCCTCTTGTCAGTTTGCATTACACCTGTTTAAACAGCAAGATTCTTATGCTTTAGAATAGGTGGTTATTGGTTTTGAGTGCTATTTATTTATTGGCTTATTTTTCCAAAATGCAGTGTGTTATGTTAGCCTAGTAGGCTTTATTAAGATTCCAGTTCAAACAGGGCAAGGTGACTCACACCTTTAATCTCAGCACTTAGGAGGCCATCTCAGTGAATTCCGGCCTGGCCTGGTCTACATAGCAAGTTCCAAGCCAGCCAGAGATACACACACTGAGACCCTGGCTTGAAAGAAAGGAGTCCAGTTGAAGATAGCCTCAGCTTAAACAGCTTCTTACAAGAAAATACCAATAAGGCTGCACCCAGCCCTTTCCAGGATGTGCCTTCTAGAGATAGCATTGAACACTGCTCTCTTTGCTTCTCAGTGTGCACTGAGTGCTTCTGAGAACACATTTGGTATAGCAGATCCTCAGGCCCTTTGGCAGGGCTTTTCTTTCTCCTGAGCAGATCTTTAAGGAGGAGTTTGAACAGCAGCAGCTTTAAATAACGTTTTTGTACTGCTTACTAAGTGTACATGGCGTTGGATCACAGTGCCCATGGGCATCATCCTGGCCTTGTAGGAAGTGAGCTGTGCTGGTGAGACACCATGCCGTCTTAGGTGCTAGCCAGAGAAGGGAAGTCAGTGGTCTCTGGGGGTTCTACATCTTTGAACTGTGTGCATTGGCCTTGTGGTGTTTACTGATTTTAACTAATTTAGAAATAGTTTGACTTTAATCAAATTCTTTCTTAATAAATTGGGAAAAGAAAAGGTATTTTTAAAGGGGCTTATTATTTACAGAAAAGAATCCTTATTTCCTATCTTTTCCTGCCTTGCTTTAATGCATGATCAGTAGCTACACCTGCGGTTACTTATGCCTTTCCAAGGTTAACCAGGTACCGTGTTATATCTGCTCACTGGTTTCTGTCTATGCTTGCTCAAACATAAAGTGTGAAAACAGTTCTTTTTAAATGTTTGCATATGCAGAGACCATCTGTCAAGTTCAGCAGAGACTCTTAACACATTTGTCAGCTTTCCACATCTTGGTTCTTTCTTTTTATCCATTTCATTATGTGTTAGCATTTGTACCTAAGAGTGAACAGGAAAAGAAAAAGTGAGATGTATTTTTCCATTTCTATTCAAATAGCTGTGCTTTTCAGGTGCATCAGAGGAAAGCATCCTAATCCCCGCGTTCATTTCACATGCACTAGACTTGTTCTTCTGTCTTAAATAAACCAGAGTTGATGTTACAAATTCAAAAGTATGTCCACATTTTTAGTGACGATGTGGAACAGCCTCTGGTTCTCTTCCTTGCTCTCTGCACCAGTTCCTGGAGTGGTGACTACCATTTCCTGCCAAGCACAGAAAGACTCCTGTTGAGTCCTTTCAAAATAGAGACTGGAACTTGATGGCAGTAAAAGCAACTTTATTGACCATTGTATACAATTCATTTAACAGATTTACATTTCTAGATATGCCTATCAAGTCATTTCACAGGTTAAAAAACTACACTGCCTTCATTTTTACTTACAGATACAAATCTTCATTTGTGGTTGTTGTTGGGTGGGTTTGTTTATTCATTCATTTTTTGTTTTGTTTTGAGACAATGTCTTGCTGTTTCCCAAGCATGGCCTTAAACTCCTCAGCTCAAATGACTTTCCTCTTCAGCCTGTTGAGCAGCTAACACCATAGGCACATGCTGCTGCACACAGCTTTCAAATATAAATCTTTTGTTTTTAAAGATTTATTATGTATGTAGTGTTCTGCCTGCAGGCCAGAAGAGGGCACCAGATCCCATTATAGATGGCTATGAGCCATCATGTGGTTGTTAGAAATTGAACTCAGGACCTCTGGGAGAGCAGTCTTAGCCTCTGAGCCATCCCTCCAGCCCCAAATATGAATCTTGAGGAGACTGTTTTAAAACTGTAGTCTTTAACCAGATGTCCCTAGAAGTGTAGCATGTTTCTTTAAATGTTCAGAGTTCAGGCTTTTAGTCAAGATCCATTCATACTTCCTTCTAGTAGGGCCATCCCTGGGTCCTGATGAGCAGCATATGTAGACGTGGCATGGATTTTGTGTGGTCTGGTGTCTGGTAGGAAGCTTCACAGGGCTCGTGAGGGCTTCCATCTGTCTGAACTTGGTCCGTCTGTTGAGTTTGGGACTAAGTGCCAACAGAAATGCACGTTTTGTTTATATGCCAACAGCTAATAAAGTCTCTTATTTTTAAGATTCCTTTATATTTCTTTGTCACAGAATCTTGTATATACCTTTTCCCTTCCAAAATTAAATGTTTTTCCTCATTAAATTTGTTGTCTCATAACTTGAAATGCAGGCCTTGGTTATTGGCAGTGGCTTTCCCCAGAGGAGACCTGTTCTATTCATCCTTTCCTTGAACTCACTTGTTTGGGTCGAATGCCATTTCTTCCTCATACTGGTCTTCAGTTTGGATGGTTGGTTGGTTTTGGTTTTTCAAGACAAGTTTCTCTGTATAACAGCCCTGGCTGTCCTGGACACTTTGTAGACCAGGTTGGCCTCGAACTCAGAGATCTGCCTGCTTCTACCTCCCAAGTGCTGGGATTAAAGGTGTGCACCACCACCGCCCGGCTGGTCTTCAGTTTCTATCAGACAGTATCAACACAATGTAGCATTTATACCTGGAATTACAGCTCTATAATTGTCCCACTGAGTATGGAAGGAGGAACTCATGTTGTGTCTTCCTCCATTCCTGCTCTGCCTAGGAGTCAGTCCTCAGTCAGGGACGTGCTACACGGCCAGTGTGCTCCTTCCTGGGCCCTAGGACAGCTTCAAGCCATCCTGTACAAGTGCTTTCTCTCAGCTGTGGCTACAGGGGAGACCCATGGTCCTTTGCCAGTGGGCCTCTTCCTTGCTGTCACTGCCCCAGTATGGTGCCATTGCCACTGTGAGCCGTGCTTGAGTGGAAAGCTTGGCCTACCTGAGGGGCTTGATGAAGGCTGACATTTAGTATTAAAAGAGCCCTGACCATCTCTGGGCCGCCTGTCCAGAGAGTGAGTTCTGACTTTAGAGCTCTGCTTGGTTGTAAGATGCACAGTGGATATGAGCAGTGAGTTGTGAGGTCATCACCTATAGGGTCTGCTTGGATGTTATCTACTTTTTACCTTACCTGCTTGGGGCTGCAACAAGGAGAATTGCATGGGATTTTTTTTTTTTCTTTACAGAGACCATTTTTAAGAAGCATCGAATTATTCTTTGTAGTCACTCATTAGGCATAGATTTTTCAGACCCATGATGCTGTTGATATTTTAAATGACTATTTTAAAAAATCTTTTAAGTTTGGAAAGTTGAGGAGAGGAAGCCTGGGTAAGTTCCTTTAAAGCATGCTTGGCTTACGTGATTAGCCCTGGATGATCAATAGAATGCTACTGTCAATGTCTCATAGCAAACCAACTTTTTATGCAGTGTGACTTTCCCTCTGCCATGGGCTTGTACGCCATGGATCAGGGAGGAACACTCCAGTGTTTGCAGCAGTGGCATGGAGACGGCTGGTACCCAGGACACCCTCACAGCTCATTCCACTTGGTTTGCCTGGACCCATTATTCTTGCCTTGTTAGAAATAAGGTGGTAAAGATCCATTCAAGTAAATATAATAGAACTATCTAAAAAGCCCACTTACATTTATAGTCTTACAAAGAAAGTCATTTCCTAAAAGTTATTCTAACGATTTCCTCTTATTTTGTTACCTCTAAACACTATTTGTAAAGAAGTAATGAGTTCTAGAAACCACATCTTGTCTATTTTTAAGTGGCAGTTTTATTATTCTTAGTAAATGTGTATTTAACAAACACTAGGAAAGGGTGACAATGTGTGCATGTTGAACATCTGCAGTTCTGCCAGCCAGTTTAAATACTTAATCTGAGTAGATTTCATGACACTTTAGATAGTACCGTCCGTCAGTCAGAAGTAACTCATGCATGATCACCCAGCTTAGTGCAGATAAAGTTGAGATGCAAACTCCAGGCTGTGATTTCAATGCCTCCAAGACTCAGGCGTTTCTCAGTGTATCACACCACTGTTCTTTATTTCAAGTATTTATTTAAACCAGACATTTAAATGAGGAAATAGTAGACAACCCATTCTTAACTAAAAATCCGAACAAATTTGCTTCATGAAGTGAAAGGGGGAAAAATCCCTTTTAAAATACTTTGTGGCCATGGGTTACCATAAATTGTCTGTGCTGAAGCACTACTTCACCCCTTTCTTAACCTCTGAGCCATCTCTCCAGCCCCAACTTCACCCCTTTCTATTACATCCCACATCCTGCTGCAGTCAGAACCAACCACTTGGGTTCCAGGTTCTGGACTCTTAAATAAGCGTCATGGTTTTTCTGTGACCCGCTGACATCTAAAGAGTATGGTTTCCTAATGACAACACTATGAGTAGTCAGTGTTGAGAAATCAAACAAGACTCTGTCGAGCACCACAGGAGCTTGGTAGAGCTGCCTGCCTTTGGTGGACAAGCCAGTAGACAAGAAGAATCTTCATTCTCATGAGTGGGGAGGGGACCCTAAATGATGGAGATCTGCTTATTTCCTGTTTATGCACGGCAACAATACAAAAGTAACGAGCATTTACATTGGTAGCCTCTGTGTGGGAGAGAGAAGGGGGTGGGATGGGGTGGGGTAAGGGAGTTGGTGTAAAAATGGAAATACTTTTAACCTCCCAAAAGGTTTGGTACTGGCAAATAATTGTAAAATACAGCAAAAACTACTGCTTTTAACAGTCACATCCTGTCTCTTTGTTTAAATGCCTTCTCTCTTTTCTGTTTTACTTTTGACATTAAAATGCACTGAACTGTCATGTTTTACTTACTTTAGTAGTCATAATCATTAGTATTATCCTTCAGGAGAAAATACAAAGGCTGAAAATCCAACTTAAAGGTACAAGCCAACTTTTTGTCCAAACTTTGTATTTAAACTTTCTAGCAGTGTTACAGTGGTTGTCCAAACTGGATTAGACTTTTGCATTGAAATCAAAGTATGGGTAAGTCTAGCACATATAATAAAATCTTGCTATATTCTTGTGGCTACATTATTTTTTAAACTTGTCTGTCTCTTGGTATATTGTGTAGAGGTCATTTCTTGAATAAAACAGGGTGGCCTGAAAGATTCAGTAATTATTGAAGTGAGTCACTACGGTACATCCTATCAGTCTGTCTCACACCACTACTTCTATTTGGACACCCGCCATTTGGGGAGGCACTCAGTGTGACTGGATGTGACATGTTGGAATGGTTTTTGGTTGACTTTTCAGTTCAGTGTTAGTCCTTTCATGTTTGTATCTGTGTACATCTGTGTGTGTGGTAAATATGAATTGAATAGATGACTTCTTATTTTATGTTTTAGGCCAAGATTGACAGACACCTAAATATTCATGACTTGAGACTATTCTGCAGCTATAAATTTTGAACGTTTGATGTGCAAAGCAAGACCTGAAGCCCACTCCGGAAACTAAAGTGAGGCTTGCTAACCCTGTAGATTGCCTCACAAGTTGTCTGTTTACAAAGTAAGCTTTACATCCAGGGGATGAAGAACACCACCAGCAGAAGACTTGCAAACCCTTTAATTTGATGTATTGTTTTTTAACATGTATGAAATGAAGAAAGATGTAAAGGAAGTAAATTAGGAGAGACTACTTTGTATTGTACTGCCATTCCTAATGTATTTTTATACTTTTTGGCAGCATTAAATATTTTTATTAAATAGATTTGTTGGTTTGTGTGTGTGTATGTGTTATCTTAGGACATCTCCAGTTCAAGTAGTGAATATTTTCTAATTTTTTTGTAGCTAGAAATTAACATTTAAATTTCAGTCCGTTCTAAATACAGGTCACTTGGCTTCTTCAGCTACCCTTCAGTAGGCTTTCTGTCCTAAGTAGTACTGGCTTGGCAAAAGCAACACCAGAAAAGTTACACTGTTGCTCTTGTCACTCAGGGAAACATTAATCTTCCTAATAGTATCACCTTGTGGTCATCATTCAGTTCAGTAAGTGCAGCAGTTCCATGTGGCTTTTAACATCTCACGTGTCTTTTGTTGGACACTGTGCCGCCTTCTGAGCATTTCCTTATGTAAAGATGTTCAGAGATTCCTTCCCACCTGTGGCTTCTCCATTATTTCCCATCTAAGTGGTGGGTTTGGAATATCAGGTGACTGTAAGCCTTTTGGTGCTGGAGAAACTCAAACCATGCAGTATTCACAGAGCAGTGCTTCAAGGTAGTAAATCATAAATACACCATTTCATCCTTTAAAAATCTTCTTGCCTTATGTTCTTTTTTACCCTGTATGCCAAGTTTTCTGGGTAACTTTGAGTTCCTGCTATATTAAAAAGCTTATAGCCCCACAGAGTAGCACAGAAAGCTGTCTTCCCATTATGTCAGAATTGCCACTTGATCATTTCCTCTCATGATCCGCACCTATTTTAACATCTCCAGAAATGGCCCAGAAAAGATCTTCACTTTACACTGTAGTCATATAAAGCCCATGCAACTTCTGATGGTGATACTGTGGACTCCTCAGACGGACCTCCCTGGGTTTTCTCCTGCTCAGTTCTAATTTTAAATATTCCATCTTTGGCCCTCTGGTTTTAACATATTGGTTGTGGTTGATTTCATCTCTGTACAAGTCTGTATCATATCCTGAAGTTGATTACATGCAACTTCTTAAACCCCAGGCCAGATCTCCCTGCAGGGCTACAAACCCTAATTCCACATCCCTAACTGGAATTGAACATGACCTATATTCCCTCTTTGCATTCGCTGTAAACTTGAAAGTCCTTCCTACTTCCTGCACTTAGCTCTGTGCTCATTTTGTTCACAGACTGCTTATCCTGTACACAGACTGTTGCCTTCTGTCTCTGTCTTGGTGTAGATTACAGCAGAGACTTCCCTTCCGTGTGGGGTCTGCTGCATATTTATACCAGTTCCCTGCACAGCTTCCCATGGATGTTCCAAAAGTTGGCATCAGTATATTTTCTTCCTTCCCCCACCTTCCCCCCTCCCACCCCCGTGTGTGTGTGTGTGTGTGTGTGTGTGTGTGTGTGTGTGTGTGTGTGTGTGGTATATGGGGTATGTGTAGGTGCATGCACTATTGAAAGCCAGCAGAGGACTCTACTTTACCGCTGTCTTCCTCACTCTCGAAGACAGGATCCCTCACTGAACCTGGAGCTTTTCGTTTCTGTTTTACTCAGTCCGGGGGCCCCAGCCAGTGCGATGGTGCTGCCCAAACTTAGAGCTGGCCTATTCAGTTAACCCTCTTAGGAATGCTCCTTCCAGCCGGCCCCACTGACTGAGCTAGGCAGGCTGGCCAGTGTGTGTAGGAGGCTCGACTGCTTCCCTATAATGTTACTGAGGCAGCACTTAATTTCTTGGCATTTCAGGCACAGCTCCGTGGTAGAGCACGTGCTTAGCAAACGGGTTCTGCTTCCAGCATGGCACATGCACAGACACACACACACAAAAATCCTCCTCTCTGAAGTCGTTTTCCGTCTCATAAGCAGTGTCCTGCTACCACCCTATGCTACACATACCACACTTTAAACCTAGTTAAGAGTACTCTACAGGTGCTGTTATTTTCCAATGTGAGTCCACTATTCCTAACCAATTCTCGTCTTTATTCACTCCCAAGTGAAATATGTCAAGGGCTTCTCTCTAGTCACAATGATGACGCTGTAACACAGAGCAGTGGGCAAACCTTTTTTTCCCCTATTGACAATGGATAAGCACTGTCAAAAGGTCCACCTGAGGTCCTGTTCTCACCTGTATAAGCCTGTCCTCTGGCTTCTCGCGAGTTGGGCCCCATGAGTTAAATAAAGATCAGGCAGCCAACCACAGTACCATGTGGTTAGAGGCCCAATGCCAGAATGTTCCAAGGGCTGGAGAGATGGCTCAGCGGTTAAGAGCATGCACTACTCTTCAGAAGGACCTGGGTTCAGTTCCCAGCAACCATGTCAGGTGGTTCACAACAGCCTGTAAATAAAGTTCCAGAGAATCTGATGCCTTTTGACCTCTGAGGGCACTAGTATTCCAGGCTTGCACACACACAAACTTAAATGATAAAAAATTTTAACTATCTCTCAATAATGGCAGGCGCACAGGGTTCCTTCCAGCCCTGAGAACTCCTTCCTCTGAGTGTTAAGGAGAAATACTTTCCTTGAACCCCAAGTATAAAGGCTTCATGTTCATAGCCGGGCGGTGGTGGCGCACGCCTTTAATCCCAGCACTCGGGAGGCAGAGGCAGGCGGATCTCTGTGAGTTCGAGGCCAGCCTGGGCTACCAAGTGAGTTCCAGGAAAAGGCGCAAAGCTACACAGAGAAACCCTGTCCCGAAAAACCAAAAAAAAAAAAAAAAAAGGCTTCATGTTCAGTCAGTCCTAGCCAGTAGGATGGTGCTGCCTACATTCAGGGTAGGCCTATTCAGTTAAACCTCTCTCAGAATGCCCTCACTAACCAGCCCAGAAGTGTGCTTCCTCTGTGATTCTTGGCAATGAAAATAAACAATCATGACTCCCAGTTCACACCTCCAGATTCTACCGGAATAAGCAGCAACCGTGTAAAGCAGTAACCATGGTTAATACACATTTCCCAGTGTCTTAGTTGGGGTTTCTATTGCTGTGAAGAGACACCATGACCATGGCATCTCTTAAAAAGGGAAAACATTTATTTGGGGTGGCTTACATTTTCAGAGGATCAGTCCATTATTATCATGGCAGGACATGGCGGCATGCTGGCAGACATGATGCTGTAGAGGTAGCTAGCTGACAGGACTATATCTTGTGCAGGCAACAGTAAGTGGTCTTAGACACTAGGTGGTATCTTGAGCATATATAAGACCTCAAAGCCTGCCTCCATAGTGACCTGCTTCCTCTAACAAGACCACAGTACTCCAACAAAGGCCACACCTAATAGTGCCACTCCCTTTGGATGTCATTTTCTTTCAAACCACCACATTCCACTTCCCGTCTCCCAAAGGCTTGTAGCCATATCATAATGCAAAAGTGCATTCAGTCCAACTTCAAAAATCCGCATAGTCGGGCCGGAGAGATGGCTCAGAGGTTAAGAGCACTGACTGCTCTTCCAAAGGTCCTGAGTTCAATTTCCAGCAACCATATGGTGGCTCACAACCATCTGTAATGAGATCTGGTGCCCTCTTCTGGCCTGCAGTCATACATGCTGTATACATAATAAATAAGTAAATCTTAAAAAAAAAAAAAAAAAAAAAAAAAGCCGGGCGGTGGTGGCGCATGCCTTTAATGCCAGCACTCAGGAGGCAGAGGCAGGCGGATCTCTGTGAGTTCGAGGCCAGCCTGGTCTCCAAAGCGAGTTCCAGGAAAGGCGCAAAGCTACACGGAGAAACCCTGTCTCGAAAAACAAAAAAACAAAAACAAAACAAAAAATCCACATAGTCTATAACAATCCCAATTTATTTAAAAGTCTAAAGTTCAAAATCTCTTCTGAGATCTCATCAATCTCTTAACTTAATCCCCTGTAAAATTAAAATAAAAAAATAGATCACATACTTCCAACATATAATGGCACAGGATATGCATTACTGTTCCAAATGGAGGAAAAGGATAGTGAGGAAACTGGACCAAAGCAAGACTGACAACCAGCTGGGCAAACTCTAAACTCTGCATCTCCATGTCTGATGTCAAAACACTCTTCAGATATCCCATTCCCTCCAGCTTTGTTGACTGCAACACACTTCTTTCTCTTGGGCTAGTTCCACTCCACGTTAGCAGCTATTCTCAACAAGTATCCCAAGGCTATAACATCTCCAACATCTTGGGTTCTTCAAGGCAATCCAGGCTTCGCCTTCACAGCTTCATGGAATGTCCTCTTTAGGCCTCCATTAAGGGACACCTCCGATACATGTCTGGCCTCAGAGATTTCCTAAGCTATTGAGGGAGATTCCATAACCCCTTTCTTCTATGCTTAACTATAAAACCACGTGGCCAAAGCTGCCAAGTTCTGCTGCTTGCTGGGGATGGAACATAGCCCTCTTGTTGTTCAATTATATCTTCACCAGCTTTCTGGTTTTGATGGTTTCCTTCACTGCCTAAGCTTGACTGTTCTGGAACTGGATCTGTAGACCAGGCTGGCCTCAAATTCAGAGATCCACCAGCCTCTATTTGCCTTCCAAGTACTGGGAATAAAGGTGTGTTCCACCACAGTCAACTCTAAGCTTTTCTTTAATTCCTTTTTACTGGTTGGAAACTTAGCTGGGTGAAATCTTGCCCTGAAGTCACTACTCCCTTTATTCCATTTCTTAATCAGTGTATCTCCTTGAACCCAAGACTTAGCTCTATTCCACTTCCTGGTGTTCCTTTTCTCCCCAAATTTTACATTTTATAATCTACCCTGCTCAGCTTGCTCCTTTTCATTATAAATCTTCATTAGAGTTACCACTAATGACCACACCGCAGTCTATACTAGGCTGTTTTGAGATTTCCTCTGCCAACAAAATTAATCCAGAACCCTTCACTTAGCCTTAGTCAGGCTCTTCTTCACTAAAATATCACAAGAACGACCTCTAGGCCACATATTAATATGCTTCTCGGAAACATCTTGAGCCAAGTCCCCACGGGTCCAATGACTCCGAGCACCACTGTCTTCCATGCTTTTCCTAGTATAGCCCATTAAGCAGCACTTAGTGTTCAACTGCTTTCCCAATCCACAGTCCCAAGGTCCACATTTCTTAAAATAAAAGCATG